AAAAAATTGATCTGCTCTCAGTCTTAAGGTCAGACCGTTTGGACCAACTTGAACCAAGTATAACAAAATTTATATAGAATTCATTAATATCGACATCCCATAAATACAAGTTATTTGTTCAAAGCTTTTTCTTCGTTCGGTATGGAGAAAGACGAATGTATTTTGCGTACCGTATAAGCGCGAAATAACGCCCGGGAGCGCTATTTTAAATAATGGCCCGAATTAAGGTCAAGATTCGAAATCACACCCCTACGCGTTATTTCGCGCTTATACGGTAGTTAAATAATAGCTATTACTGGGTCCATAATAGCTGACCCGGCAGTTATATAACTTTGCGTGGTTTTATCAGATTCAACTTTAATATTTTGTCAAAAACAAAAATAAAGATAATATGATCGAGATTTGTCCCTACTAATCAGTCTGATATGTTTGTGAATGATCACTGAACGATTGTTTATATAAACAAGCGCTTCTATCGCGAACTTGCCAAGAGGTGGTTAGGAACACTGTTATTGTAACAATTGCACTTATCTGGTAAACCACAAATCATTAACAATAGTTTCCTTTTTTGGGGAACGTCTAAAGCGGAGTAAATTCTTATAATATATATTTTATTGAATTAACTTTCGGGTAAAGTTCTTAAATTAAGGTTAAACTAGAATTTTTTTGTTTATATATACGCAAAATTGCCTTTCCGTCATTTTTGCTTAACGTACCGAGTAGGTTTAGACTGCAATTTTTTGTTGCTTCGCCAGCGATCATCAAAATTCTATAATTCTGCAATATCGCTATATCGATATATATCTGATAAACTCGGGATTAACCATCAGTAGAGCGATTTTTCATCATTTTATTAGTCTTTAAATATTGGGGGTGTCAGTAGAAACCAGGCAAATTGTTTTTAGTAAGTTTTTTTTTTAAACCTTTAAATTAAAATATTTCAACAACTATTAAACCAAACATGATAAATTTTGTTTATTTTAATTCTATAAATAAAAAAATTTTCATCATGTTTGGTTTAATAGTTGTTGAAATATTTTAATTTAAAGTCAGGAAAAATTTACTTAGAAACAATTTGCCTGGTTTCTACTGACACCTCTCATATATATATCGTTTACCAATTCGACGTGTCACCGCTACGAGAATTTTCTTTAAAAATTAGCAATTCTCGATTCATACGCATTTTATTATTACAAATGTATCCCATTGAACTTTTGCTGATTTAGCCTACATAAAGAATATATAGTACATCGAAATTTGTGAAATGGCAGTGTACTGTAACTTACCCATGCCTCTTTGGACTTTTAATATATGAAATAGTGTGATGAACCAGTGCTGATCTACGTTTTCGTTTTTGCATTGTGACCATCAAGACGTCCGTAATACATATATATATATTTAAAAAACGCGACGGGATATCTTAACATCTGCATATCAGATTTGCTTTTGTGTCACGGATATGCAATGGTCATCATTAACTGTTAAGCGGAAAAATTCAGAACGTTTTTATTGGTGAAGATCATGCACTTCAAGTTCTGATATTACAGCTGATTGAACGAGTTATAACAATTTTGGTACTATGAACGGTGAAGAAACCGATTCTCATAGCAGCAGTGACTTCGGAGATTTAGAATTTAATAGTGAAGTTAGTTATGGTAAAATTGTTTAAACTTACTAAATTTACTGTAATAAAGGCGATAATAATGTTTCAAATGTTTTCGTCATATATCTTGTAATATGCACTAAAAAAGTTCATTTTTACTTATCATTCTAGAATCAACGCGTTCTTCGTCCTCAGATACTTCTCAATCCTATTTTTGGCACCAACAATTCATCAAAATTGATCTTAAAAAGATTAATCTCATCAACGGAAGGCAAATCTTTTCTGATATTCCAAAGCTTTCTCTAATTTTGCGATTTATTACGAATGAATTATGTATCACTTCAAATGTCACATTGAATGAAATAGTGATTCCGTTAAATCAACTTAAGAAACTTAAAATATCGCAAGAAAGAGAAATACTCGTGGATTTTAGAAAGAATTTTGAAAGATTTGTATGTAATTTTCATTAATTTACCTATTAAGTTTATTAAGTTTATCTTATCTTAACGTAGATTTGTTAATATAGCTTTCATTTATCAGAATTATAATTATCCACAAGGACTTTTAAATCTTAGAATTCATTTGCCTTTCGATCCGGCTGGAGGTGACTTAAATGATGTCACGTCTCTCTTATTCGTGCCGGCTGATTGGGTGGACAATAATACTTTAATATTTTTTGGTGAAGGTATCAAAAAATTGTTGGTAACTCAGGTAAATTATATTTATGATTTTCTCTGTATTTTTTTATCTTTTATTTCACATAATAATTTCAATGACTGTAAAAGGTAAATGAAAATAATTTTAAAAAACTGGATAATAGTGGCAATAAAACTAGTGATAATGAAGTAAGTTTTTTTGTTAAATTTCAAATAGTTTTTTGCTTTATTGAATTACTTATCTGACACTGGAATCAGCTCCAGATCACTTGCAACTTTCTTTCAAAAAAATTTATTATTAATGTGGCGATGGAGACTAAATTTAAAGACATACTTGCATGTAGTGGGTATAAATTTTAAATATTTCTATTTTATTTTGAGAATTTTATATTTGATTTATTTATTATTTTTTTTTAGTTCATGAAAGATATAAGGTTGATATTAACCCAAATCGTGTGACATATAAAAATTTGTCAAATGATACGATTACTCTAATTGATGAAGAAGATTGGAATGCGGTAAAGTGGGAAGCAAGAAGATCGCAAATTTATCATATTTCAATGTTTTTCTCTTGATATTGAACATTCATCGAATATGGTTGTTTTTTTGAACAAGATTGATTCATTAAATTTAGATACTATTATTAGAATATGAAGTCTATAAAAATAACTGTTTTATATTAATTCGAAAAAGATATAATTGGATGAAATAATCTAAAAAAAAAACTTTTGCTTAATTAGTAAGTAATTGCATAGATATTTAAAAAGCTGCTTCGATTGTGGAAATTATTGCTAGTAATTATTCTCAAGCTTTCTATCCTAAAATATAATTTTTTTTTTTTTTATTGTAACATAATAGATGAAACATTTAATTTATTAGCGAGAATCTTGTATTAGCATAAAAATGGATAGCGCTAACATGTATAGCCCCTTTTTTTTTTGATTTTATACACAATCTTAAAAATTATTAGGGCTATGTCATAGTATAGCGTCATAGAGGCTTATTCAAACCAAAAATAAGGGCATCAGAATTTTCTGATCACATGATAGATAAGCAGCAGATTTGAACAATAAACTATTAAAGTTGGTTCAAAGTCATTTGTAGTTTCCAATTTGGCGAGAGTGAGGTTGTACTAGTGGTAGTAGTAGGGATGTTGTTGGTTTGGATAGCTTAGCTTGGCTCAAAAAAGCCATAGCCAAGCTATAACTAAGCCATGGTTTAAGCTGTTAGCTATAATTAAAACCAGAATC